GCTGTACTACGAAGCCGGTTATCAACTCAATAAATGAATCCAGGTGTGGCCACTTACGGTCTGTGCGCGCACACGTAAAAGGGGCGGGGTTAGCGGCACTGGACCATTTTCCACAATGGATAAAACGGTGAGAGCGTCGTATTTCACAGCTGAGGAACAGGATTTTATCCCGCGAAAGTACGAGGAGTTCCGAGAGGCAATCACAGCGAGGAGCAACACGGTCGCAGCCGCCAGAAGCTGGAGGAACTGCTGGCAAAAAAACGCAGATTGTGTTAATGCGTAAGTCACTACGATGAAGATATTAATGTGTCATCACGATGGCACGGAATGATGTCGCTACATTTGTGCGTTCATCAATTTATGGTCCCCAAATGTGTTGTCATTCAGTGTTTGATCACCATCATCATCACCGACCTCATGATTTTAGATGCAGCAGCAGTGGGGAAAAAAGAACGTGGGAGCAAATCAAAATAAATATAAAAACATCCTTCAGAGTGGGTTAGTAGGTTTATTGGCAGATTGTATTTGTACATACAGTATTTCATCATGTACACAGCGATTTCCTCACAATGTCTCAGCTGTAGGATGATGATAAACAAGATCGTGTGATATTATTTGCAGCCCATAAGAAAAAATGTGCGGCCAAAAAAACGGGGGAGGGCCAGCTCCAGAGGACTGGCCCTCTCCTTCAACAGGGGTCTCCCAGCCACTGAGGGCATCGAGGGTGGTGTGACTTCTGACCCTGGTGGAGGTAGCAGCTTGCAGAGCTCCTGCTTTGTACAGGGTACGTTTCAGTGAGGCAAAGGCAAACCACTGACTTGCTCAAAAAGCACAGAGTTGTTTGTGAAAAGGTGACTGCTAATGTTCTAATGTTTCTCCCCAGTGGACAGAGACACACTGACTGTCACGCTGCTACCTCCACCCAAGCAAACATTGCCCAGTACAGAGGTAACTGCAAATTCAACCAGCCATTCACATAATTCACCTGTGGCTGCTGATGATTCCTTCACCCAACAAAACCTTTGTCATCATTGATGTAGGCGGCGGTCATTGATGATGAGACTCTCTCAGCCTGCTCAGAGAGACCATGGCCGGTACAACTCAGTCATGGTTCTTTTCTAAAGTGGTTCTCACAGTGGTGGGGAGATTGTGGCAGTTATTTATCAATGGCAAATTCCACAGGTGATGGGGTCTGCTGCTGGGAATGATAAGTGTGCTCACATGCTCTCTCATCCTGTGACTCAATTTCAATTGTTCTTCTTTCACAGGAAGAGGCAAACCCAGCTGCCCCTGAGCCAGTGGCCTCCACCTCTAGACCAGCCAAGACAAGGGAATCACAAAATGTAATCCATTTTCACATTAACCAAAGTTTTATAGGCACATTTTCAAGCACACAATGTAAAGAGGGAAATGCTTGGACATTGAAGCAACTGCATGTGTGACAGGAGGGACCCTCTCCCGCCGTATGGCTGCTATATTGTGCAGCACCACACAAGCTGCAATCACCCTGCAGGCCCTCTCTGGAGCCATCCTGAGCCCACGGAGACAGGTGAAGCCGGCCTTGATGACCCCAAAGGTCATCTCTATCCTGACCCTGGTTTTAGCCAGGGCCACATTAAACAAAGTTTGCGGACCGGCACCAGGGTCAGGATAGGGGGTCAGCAGGTAGGGTTGGCAGGCGTACCCTCTGTCTCCCAGCAGCACTCCACTGAAGAGCCCTGCAGATCAAGAGGAAGAGCCTTGAGGAGCTGAAAATGTGGTTGACATCAAAGAACAGATTCAGTGTACAGTAGTTTTACCCTGCTCGAGTTTCCTGCACAGCTGTGACTCTCTGAAGATGCGGGAGTCATGCACAGAACCTGGCCACTTTGCCTCAAGGCTAGTGATCATCATTCGATGGTCACATGTCATCTGCAGACACATTTGGTGTTAACAGGAGTTTTCGATTCTGCTTAAATACATTCTAAATGACTGATATGCCACATGAAACTGGAACTTATATTAGTATATTACAAATATTAGTGCATTGCTTAGACTTCACGCTGCCTGAATATTGAGGCTGTGGAAGTTTTTCCTGTTTACATAGTCAGCCTCACTTGGTCCCAGACTGGCTGTAATGGGGATGTGCGTGCAGTCTATGGCCCCCATCACTCTGGGGAAGCCTGAGAAAAGAGAATAAGGTTTGAATATCCAAATACATACATGGAAAAGTATAATATGTGGACTTGCCATTTATGGACCTACCTGCCAGTGCATAAAACCTGATGGCATGCAGAGGCAGATGTCCGGGGAAAACGACAAATATGTCCAGCAGATCCGTCAGTGCCCTCGTGTCTTTGTGGATCGCTTTTCAGCAGGTGTTCTCTGCATCTCCCACAGCATACATGAAAGTGCCTGTGCGTTTGGAGGAAATGGATGAGTGGGGGAATAAAGGAGACTCATACAAATTCTTTTGTCGTCCTTTCTTGCGAGCCGTGCTTTGTTAGTTTGTAATTGGACAAGTAAATCTGTATGAATACTCACCGGCGGCAAAGAACCTCAGCGCGAGGCAGACCATCTGCGGGACTGTGAGCGCCCGACTGCGGTGAGTGACGTTCACCACGTAAGGCTCCAACAGCTCACTAATATATAGCAGCCCCTCAAAAGAAAATCTGTAACGCTCGTACAGAACGTCATCTGGTAAATCGAATGGGTTAGACCGGTCACGAAAATAGCGCTCTTGTCGAAGCGCTCCTCTCACAATCCAAGCACCGACGTCCACGGGATCAGGCAAAAGTGGGCAGGCCATTTTCCAAGAGAACCGATTGGTCAGTGGGCGGTCTTTTATACCCGCTGACTTCTTATCCTCAAACATAACCTGCTCCGGAGCAGGTTTGGCGTTCCGCGTAAGTTACCGGGGCAACGGACCTGGATAAAAAGAGATCCACCTTCGTAGTACGGAAAACCCAGAAGTTATCCAGAAGTTATCTCGCTAAGACCAAATCCAGCTTCGTAGTACAGGCCTCTGGATTCGAACCCAGGACCTTCTTGTTGTGAGACAACAGTGCTAACCACTACACCACTGTGCCGCCTCCATGTTGAACCATAAGTGCAGTCCATCCAGAATCCAGCACCATCAGAATTCTTTGTGTACTTTTACACCAGAAACTTCTTCAGACAAATTATTAATGCGTGTGCAACATTGATTTAATCAACATGGCGTGACATTACCAAAAGTATAACGTGACTTCATACAACCCAAGAGATTTGATGGCAGACTCCATGAGCTCAAACATGATTGATTTTTGAGGTTTTGAAAAATGCTAAACCAAGTATTTAATGGACCCAGTTATTGATCCCCATCTCTACTCCTCACTGCAGCAGCTCACTACACTGCTTCTTTCTGCCAAGGTCAGAAATGGCTCTAACAAGATCTACTGATTATACCCACTGGGTATTTGGTTAACTGCTGTTACGAGTGTCCAATAATCACATAATGCAGTAATTTGGTCCATGTTATTAATTTCCCAAAATAAAAGGCCCCTGAGCTCAATAGGCCTCACCCTAATGCTAACCAAGGTAAGCCCGTGCATTGAAGCGGCTTTGCCAACAATGTATATTGGAGGTTTTTTTTAGATTTTAATAAAGAAAGCATGTTCTAGACACAAGTGATTGAGGTTTCTGTCCTGTGCAGACAGAGGTCAGAATTTACACATATTTGTAGCTCAAATCAGGGTCTCATCAGAAAGGACTAACAGATTTAGTTTTAGTGTGGAGGATAGGAACGAGATGAGTCAGACTGATCAATCAAGGTTATAATATTTTGGATTTTTCATTATAGTTTAATTTTATTGTGTTTGGACCTTTTTTTCCTCTAATTCAGTTAGTTTTAATTAGTTTTTGTTTGTTCTTTTTTTTTTTTTTTTAAGTTTTTCATACTTTACAATAGGGTTATTTACTCGTGCAGCCAGGGCCGGGTCTAGAAAATTATGACTAGGGGTGCATCTCAGATCAGAGGGGGTGCACATGCCTGGCACGTTATTCAACACTAAATTATGCATTTTCCCATCATTTCAAGCGGAATGAAACTAGTCAAACAAGAATATTTAAAATGTCTTTCATATGCTTTATTGTAGCAAAATTGTTGTAGAAAAAGGAAATGCAGATGTTTCTTACCCTGAATATTTAACACATTTTATCTATACAGCTGAAAACATCACTAAACATGGCAGTCATTTCAAGTGGAATGATAATAGTCAAACAAGAATATTTAAAGTGTCTTTCAAGTGCATTTTTGCAGCAATAGTGTAACAGATGTTTCTTACCCTGAATATTTAACATAGAAATTCAAACAAATTTTATCTATACAGCTCAAAACATCACTAAACATGGCAGTCATTTTAAGTGGAATTCTACCAGTCAAACAAGAATATTTGAAGTGTCTTTCAAATGCATTTTTGCAGCAATAGTGTAACAGATGTTTCCTGAAATTCAGGGTAAGAAACATCTGTTGCTAGATTGCCTGATGGGTGAGGCAGCCCAGACTAAATGGAGCATTTTCTTTTTTCTGCTACAATATTGCTGCAAAAATGCACTTGAAAGACACTTTAAATATTCTTTTTTGACTATTATCATTCCACTTGAAATGACTGCCATGTTTAGTGATGGTATTGAGCTGTATAGATAAAATTAGTTTGAATTTCTATGTTAAACTTTCAGGCCCTGAATATTAAACATAGAAAAATAAATAACAAAAATAAATTTAACCTGTGTGGTCCATTTAATCTGGCAGATACCACCATACCACAGCAAAAGGTGCAGGTCTTGTGGGAGTGGAGACAGTCTTCTGTGTAGGCACTTCCAGGATAGTGGCACACTGACATCACCAGGGGGCACAGGACGATTATTGGACAGAGAGAGATGACAAAGGTTAAACTAAGCTCATAAAAATAACATATGGCACAGTAAAACAGAATTTCATTTAAAATATAGGCCCACCTAGAGGAACAGCATACCTTTACTTAATAAAGCTGCAGCCTCCTTGATGATGTGTTGAATCTTCTCAGCAGTTTCTCTCTCCACTCTCCAATGATCTTCTGGGTGAGGTCCTTCTCAACAGCAATCTGAATCAGATGGACTTTTCTTTCGTGCAGCATGCTCCTTCTGTGTTCACTGAACACATTCTTCAACATTGAGAATGAATTTTCACATGTTGCGGTTGATGCACCAAAGGTTAAGCTGAGCTTCAGTGTTTCTATGACAGTTGGCATAGCTGCCAGAGACATGCTGTATGTTTTCAAAATGTCCTGCGTTGTCCAGCTTTTGTTTTTGTCAGATTTGGCCATTTCATCTTTCAGAAAGTGCTTTGCCACAGTGAACTCAGCTTCTTTAGCATTTATCCCTGTCAAGTCCAACAGAGGCTTAACTTTGTTGACATCCATGAAATGTTCACTCTCTGGGTGTACAGCACACAGCGCCTGTACTAGTTGGCTATTTCTTTCATTAAATCTAGCAGTCATTTCTCCCACTACTGCATCCAGAGTACTGAAATACAATCTTTTGCACTCTGTCTTCTCTCCCACTTCTTTGTGACGGTGACCAAATGGTGTTTCCACCACAAAGTCTTTCAAGTGACTGGTCATCTTTTCTCTGCGTCGTTTGGATTGTGAGGGTGTGGCAGCGGAAGGTTCTGTCATCTCTCTCTCTTTTGTGCATTTCTCCCAAAGTGCATCAAACTGACTGTCACTTCTAAGTTCTTCCACACATTCAAGTGCACTTTGGACAAGACGAACACCAGTGTAGAGGTCAGTGGATTTTGCTTGGAGTGCAGTATTGGGGGGATCCAGCAAACCCAATATCTGATGTGTCATACACGCAATGAATGGAAAACTGGGCTCGGTAATGGCCTTCAAAAGCCCTGTGGCCTCAATTCGCACATCTGCTCCAATGGTCGGGATGCCTTCAATCTCCTGTAGCAGGTGGACAATGTCGTCACAGCTGTTCATGATCACTTTCACTGTGGCCAGATGACCAGTCCACCTTTGCTCAAGCAGCCGCTTCAACTTCTCTCCTGTATAGACTGCAGCTACTGTAGGTTTCCTGAAGAACTTGTAGAGAGAGTTACATACACCAAAGAAGTTCTCCAATTTATTATCAGATGACATGGCATTCACTACCACCAGGTGAAGCTGGTGATTAAAACAGTGCACATAAGGCACCTCCCTCTGTAGTTCTTCCTGTATAAGTTTCTGCATTCCGCCATTTACACCTGACATGACACTTGCCCCATCGTAGCACTGGCTTAGAATCTTCCCTGTATTTAATCCAATATCTTCCAAATGTGACAAAACAAGTTGAGTTAGAGACTTAGCATCACAGTGTTTACTGGTTGGCATTGAAATAAGTCTCTCTTTCACACTGTTGTCACTTTTATCCACAAAGCGAAGCACTATTGAGATATTTTCACATCCCGTGGGGTCTTTGGTGCCATCAACTTTTAATGTGTACCACACATCTCCAATTTCATTCACAATTTCCTCAGTTATGATTTTGCTCATTAGTTCAATTATTTCATTTTGTATATGATTTGATGTGTATTTAGCATTGGCAGGGATGGTCTCAAAAATCTTCTTAAAGTCCTTGTCCTTTTTAAGTGTGTAATCCATCATGGCTAAAAAAAAGACCACTACTTGTCTCACCTCTTGTATCCAAAGCCTCAAAAGAGCCACGGAAAGGGAGCTGGTTTACAGCCAGGAACTGAATGATGTCCACAATAGATGACACATAAGTGCGGTTTCTCTCAAGCTGGTCTTCATTCACAAGCATGGACACCTCAGTCTTAGTCCCTTCTCTGCTGATCCTCTCCTGCCACAACGCCACTGATGTCATGTGTTCTCTGCTTGCTTCATGCCTTGCCAGTCCCTTATGGCGCACAAGAGCATGGCGCCAGTTGTTGTAGCCACTAGTGGTGAAGGCTTTCCAAAACTTTCTACACGCTTAGCAAAATACGGCTTCATTTTTGCAGGAATACTCTAGCCACTCTCTGTTGTCGAACCATGAGCTGCAAAAGGAACGCTTTATTCCTCCAAAAACTGATGATGGATACTTCTGTAAATGCATTTGAAGTGGCTCCTCCATACCTAGGTCGTCGGGGGGGCCGGGCGCCTGCTCTGGGCCTTGGGGTGAAGGGAGGGGGGGCTGCGGCGGCAGCGGCTCGGGCAGGAGTGAGCAGCCGGACGAGGCTACTACTTGCTCCCCAGCAGCGGCTGCTACGCCAGCTTCACAAAGCTCAAGTTGGGATCGAGTCTCTGTCTCACCACGACCACCGTTGTCTGACTTGCTGGCATGGTTGTGCTGGAACCACTTTCGAATATCCATTACTTTGTGCTAACGGTGCAGCAGAGAGCAGCGTCTTGTTAGTGCAGGTAACTGCGCGCTGCACGCAGGCAGATGAGTGACGTGCCCTGACGCGCGCGCACTGACGCACGCGCACTTCTCCCTCTTTCCAACTGAGCATGCAGCCAGATAAACTGAGGGTGCAATGCATGCTGATGCACCCCCGTAGAACCGGGCCTGCGTGCAGCACTGGATGATTTGAATTTTGGCTCGAGTGAAAAGCTAAACTTTTTTAAGGCAATCAACTCACACAGTCTCACACAGATATATCAGTCTCAATAAACATATTGTGCATCTTCCCACGTGTGGTGTCCCTGCCTGTTTACTAACCAGCAGCTCTTTGGTCATCAGTGAAAACAGTCCATTATAGTTGTCTCCTGCTTCCTGGTGCTACCTCCTGGCCAAGATGCTGCTTCTTTTCCAGGGGAGCTGCTCAAAGAGGCCACTTTGCCAAGGTACTCACGACAAGCGTTCTTGTGTAAGCTTCTCAAATGGACTTTCAGGTTTTTTTCCTTTGAGAAGTATTCCACATATTTTATCACCAGTTTTCAAGGCACTTGCTTTGGTCTTTCTCAAACTCTGTTGCTTTATCCTGTGTTTTGTTGCCATTTTGTCAGGTAGAATGGTGATGAGAAGCTGACTCTAAACAAGCAGTTATGAACTGGGAGGTGCCGTACGATGCTGCTAGCTCACGCAAAATTGTTCAGGCAAAATAAAACAATTTCATATCAATCCAAAATTATCAAAAACTGAAGCAAAGGGATTTTTATCTTTACCTTTAATACGTTTTAGTTAGTTTTGTTAACACACAATATAGTTTTAGTTAATTTTTTTTTCTATTAATTTTAGTTTATATTTATTTCAGTGAACGAAAATGTTTTTTTTTTTTATTCTAGATTTCATTATTACGTTTTTTTAATGATAATAACCCTTAACTGAACTCAACTAAAAACCCAGGGGATGGGAAGATGGGATGAGCGTGTGTCTGATATTACAACATCAGGCATTTGTTGTGAATTGGCACTATAAATATTGATTGATGGCTTTGCTGGTTCTTGGTTTGAAACCTAAGAGTGATCCTCACAGAAATTAGAGCTGCAATGATGCAGTTTATGCTAACCAGTAAAAGAGGTACATAAGAAATGGAAAATTAAGTTTCTGCTGAGAAAAAAAAGGTTAACGTTTTTGTTCCATTTCTCTCTGATTTGTCTATTTTTAAATGTGGCATAGTGTTGCGATTTGAAGCTACAGTACTATTTTGAGTGAAATTTGCATTGAAATGGAAAATAGTGGCGGGTGTGGCAACAACCAACTGTACTGCAGAATGTTTCCTTGGGTCTGAATCTGCCCTTGAATCCTCTAAAAACACCTCTTAAGTCTGTGTGTTCGTTTTCCTCTTCTTTTGTTTTCCTCTTGGTAGATTTTGAGAATTTTACCCTGTTTATTGTGTCCTGTTCTTCCAGTTTCTAAAGAAAAACTCATGCTCCAGAGAAACCCTGTCAGGAAACAGCATGTATCTGCTTAATGAACACTATAGGTGGAAATAGTTTGGAGTTTGCCTTCTGCCTTCACTTCGTCCATGTCTAATGTGTCACAACTGATCTGCACTGGCAAATCAGGTTGCTAACAAACCTGTTAGTGAGCATTGTTCAAAGGCAGCTGAGGCAAATAAACTTGTCAGCATTGACAGTGAAGATTTATACCAAGGACTGAGGCTTCAGGAAACCTACCTGGAAAGCATAGTGTTGCATACAAAAGTGGGCTGCAGTAAAATAATCAGAAAACGTTACTGAAATGCTTTTGACCTGAAAAAGTGCAGGAATGACCGAGCAGAGCAGTCCAATTCATTCAGAGGACTGAGTCAGTGCCGTTATGAATGGTTACATCGCAAAATATAAAATAAGAATCTTTCCCATTAGCCAGAGTTTGGCACCTCATGAGGAGTTTGAGTTTCTCATGTTGAGAAGGGTGAGAAGCTTGGTCATCTGGTGGGTGCTGAGAGTAGAACCGCTGCTCCTCCTCATTTAGAGGAGTCAGAAGATGGGGCTTAGGCATCTAATCAGAATTCATCCTGGTGTTTAGGGCACATCCCACCGGTAGGAGACAGGATTTGACTTCCTTGCTTGGGCTGCTGCCCCCATGACCTGGCTCTGGATAAGTGGTAGAAGATGGATGGATAGACAACTAAGTGTATTGGCTCTGTTAGAGATTCTAGTATGCAGTTTTCTACAGGCACATAAATTAGCTTGCAGGAACATATACTTTTTTAAAAGGCTGTATGCAATGTTTTCTTAATTTTATACTTTTATTAATGTCTGTGACCTTGTGTTGATCTCTTTGTCTAAATTAACCTAACAATCATTGTATGTTTTTTCCTGTGCAAGCTGGGAAATACAGGGAGTTGTAATTTCCACAGCCCTGTGGTTTCTAAGATGTGTCATGTGCAAACAAGCCTCGTGCGTCATCATGACTGCTCATACTTAAACATCCAGTTGTTTGGCAACACTGCAGTACAATGATGTGTTGAGCTTGTGCTAATTAAAAGAGCTGGCAACTCATCACGCTTTGTTTGTTCTGCTTCTCCTTTTTCAGCAGAAACATAGCAGGGAGAGAAAAAAATGCATATTTATCAGAGTGGATGCCTAGTTTTTTTTTTTAGTTTTTTTTTTTATCCTGCTCCACAGAGCTGAATAAAATGTAACAGTATCAGCAAAACAGTCCAAGGTCAGCAGAAACAGAGAGTAAACATTAAGGCAGGCATGATTTTGTTATTGCTGGTGCACAGGGGAGCCCTGCTCAGGCTTTAACGGCTAACAGTCGTGAAGGGGAAATGGAAAGAACAAAATGCAATTCAAGAGGGCCTTTCAAACTTTTTCAGCCTGAGACGAGACGGAAATATTCCCTCAACCAGGGCTAATTTAAACATATCACCTCCTTTATCATGCAAGCAGGACCAGCACAGCTCATTTCCAGACCTGCTTCTATTTCTGAAGTGTTATTCATTGCTTTGTAACATCAATAAATCATTACCACATTCACTTTTGAGTCATTGGTAAACAGTTTTGGCTCAAATTAGCTGCCAGGAGGATTGGTGGCCTCTAACACAGCTTCATATTTTACAGTGTCCCACCTGGTTGGCTTTGGCAGGAAATCATTTGAAGAGCTTTATGGCACAAAACAAGAGGATGGCTGGAGCTTTAGAGTTTCTCCCATGGACAGTTAGTGGAATTAAAGCAAAAGAGGCCAAATAGAAGAGAGGATGTTAAACTTGTTCTTAAAGACCCTTAGAAATATGTGCCTGCTTGATCCCTGAACATCAGAGGCAGCTCCCTTGCAGACAGGACTTCTCTGATTCATTTAAAAGCACTTATCAACAATCCAAAGCAGCCTTTGACCTGCATAAATCTTCATATTTTCTTAAAATCAATTAGCATCACGAAGAGCATATGACTCAACAGGCTCCTTACACAGTACAAAAAGGATTATTTTTCTTCTTATTCTTTAATTTTCTGGATAAGCATGAATGAGACAAAAAAACAGCTACTAAAGTCCTGTTTTCACGCCAAAACCAATTTTTTGTGTGTGTGTGTGTGTGTGTGGGAACAAATGCATGCATTATCAGCATCACAAACTACCATTTCTCAAGATTTAGTTCAAGGTAATTGATCTTTCCTTTAAAAAGGAAAAACTTGACCAAAGCTCAAGCTGTTGAGGTCTTGGGTCCAGGGCTGAAGCTGGATGGTACATTATTTAAAAGCTGATCTTGTTTTTAAAAGAAACTCTCAGGGGCAAATTCACTAAGAATGGAAACCACTGAATCACCAAAATTGTACTTCATGCCCGAGCTCACCTCTTTTCTCAAGAGCCATCTCCGTAAGCATTATACAAAAATTATATTCAGTCCTAAACACACCAACAAATTTAGCAGCTTTGTACAGTTTGCTCTTGTTTTACCACCCAGTGTGGACATGAGCTGTCAGCATCTCTGCCCTTTGCAGTGAGGAGCTGTGCTGTACACTTTTATTCCGATGAAGCTTAAATCTGTCTACATGTTGACAATGAGCTAAAAGGGTCACCACATTTCAAAACCAGCTAAAAGTTTAATCTGAACACGTCCATAAATAATGACGTGAAAGGGGAACCAAATTTTACCTTAAAAAACCCACATTTGAAGATTATAAACTGACACAACCATGTTGCACTGAGGTTAATACACTGTAGTTATAAAATGTGTATTGGTTTGTATTAGCTTAGTTTTGATTAGTTCTCAATGTTGATTTTTTTTTTCTCTAAAAAGTTTGATAACTGCATAAAACCTTTTTCATATAATTCAAAACACTTTGATCAAATAAGTGTTGTCCTAAAACGTATCCTTACATGATTGTGTACTTTCAGTTTGTTAAGCATTAGCCAGCAGAGATAGCTCACTGGATCGTGTCGAACATGTCACCTGGCAGCATTATCTCATATCTCATTCTATCGGGGTACATCAGGGGCTGAGGGCTCTGCAGATTTCAGTGGTGGATCTATTTCTAGACAGATGCCTGTGGCCTGGAGTATGCAATAGTTTTGAGAGGAAATGGAAAGGAAGCAGAGAGCAATAAATAAGTAATTGAGAAAATCTGGTCCGGCCCTCAGACATGGTCTCTGTGATAGTGCTGTGCCGAGATTCAAACTGGGTAAATTTGACTCTTCCCCCTGTGGACTGAACTCAAAGCAACTTTCAGGGAAATCGAACCATCAGGTGTAAAGTGCTGTCTGTATTATCTAAGGGTGGTAAGGAGAGGAATAGGATAAGACGATCCATTATTCAGATGGAGCAGGATTTAGTTATTTTACAGTCGGTCGAGTCTGAGAGGGATGCACTGCGATACTGTAATAGACTATCAGTGAAGCAGCAGGAGACCAAGACTTGTATTATCCCTGAGACTGTGTGTTTACAAGGGTTAGCAGAGTCAAGAGTTGTGTGTGTGTGTGTGTGT